AAAAGAAAAAAGAAAGAAAGAAAAGAAAAGAAAAAAGGAATTAGGTTATGCATATACATTGTTATGATATTTGTCTAACATCTAATATCATTAGATATGTCTACAGCATTGTTATTGTTGCTTTAGTGAATAAAAGAAAGGGAAGGAACAGGCTATGTGAGCCTGTTTACGTGAAGTAACAAGCAAAACGAATCTATGGATATGGAACTCAGAATGGTGTTTGCCTCTGGAGTGGGTTGGCTGGGAAAGGCCCAGAAAACTTTCTGGGCTGCTAGGAATGTTCTATATCTTGATTTGGGTGATAGCAACACGGATATATACAACTGCAAAATGTCATCAAACCTAAGATTTTAAAGTATTTTAATGTAAATGTTTATACCTTAATAAAAAAAAAAAAAAAAAGAGAGAGAGATGAAGTAGCAAAAGACTGACCTAAAAAGCAGGATATGCTGAGCTAACACCAGCTACATAGCTTTACAGAGAGGAAGACCAGGCTTGGCTCCCCTCCATTCCAGCCTCTCAGGGGCCCTCCTAGGTAGGCTGCAGGTACATTCAAGAGGGCTGGGTCCTTACATGGGTAATGCAATCTTAAGGTCCTGCTGCGCCTCACCCCTTGCCAGCCTCCTTCTTTTTCTGTATTGTCACTCTGCCATTTTCACAGTGAGGCACTGCATTTCCTGATAGAGGTGGGGGTCTCTTGGAATGTAACAGTGATCCATGCTTAAGTCAGAAAGGAAGGTAGAAGGCCTCAGCTTTCAAACAGATTCCAAAAGTTTCTTTCTCAGCCACTGCCTGGGATTCAGAACGTGGGCTCTCAGAAGCAATGTTATAAATGGTGGTCAAGATGCCACTCGAAAAAATCTATTCAATGTATACTCATAAAAAATATAGAATTTTAAGCTGGTTGGGTGGAGGAAAACTAATATATCCAGGAGATTCTTTAGGAAAAACTGTGTTTCCTAAGTGTATTGAGTGATAGTGGTTGTGTGTCATAAAAAAATGAAAGGAAAATAATATTCTTTTTTTCCCCAAAAATATACCTATCTGCCAGATACTGTATTGGCATTTGAGATTGAAAAGTGAAAAATCCTATGATATCTTCCCTCAAGAAGCTCACTCCATAGCCATGAAAGACTAACCTTGTAAATACGTAAGTATAATAAAATCATAGAGGTGTTGTGATAGAGATCATCCTAGTTAAACAAAACAGAAAAATAGAAGTGGATGTTGGTTGTCCAGGGGAAAGGAATTTTAAAGCAGTGAGGGTTGGTGGGGTAAGGAATTTGATGAAGACCTTTTTAACGATTCGTGGGTACAATGACCCTGGATCTGAGGCTATTTCCAAATGTCTTTCTTTTACAGTGAGACCATTACAGTTTAACTTCTCAAGCACTATTGGGGTGGGTTGATTGTTTTTTGACTTTCAAATTATCTAAAGGAGTAGAGGTGGGCAAAACTTGCAATTCCAAGGGGAAAAGAAAAGCACATTTAAAAGGTATGTAAACCCAGGAGAAGGATTGCCAGACGGAGATTTGACTGAGTATGGAGGAAGGCAAAAGCAACACTGGAGAAGAAGTAAAAGGCTAGTTCCCCACATCAGCTGCTGGGTGATAAAGCTGATTCAGGACAGCCTGGGTGCCATCATGAGAGCAGAGGGGGTTTGGAGCCCCTGAGTTCCCAGAAGTATGAACGTATGGGACCACTTAAAATCAGATATTTATAGTATTTTCGGATCATTTATTCATTCCACCAATATTGAGCATTTACCATTTATAAGGAAATTTGCAATTGACCTGTAATTAACAGGGTTAAAAAATTGTGTCTGTCATGGTCCTTGCCCTTAAGAACTAGTTGGGGAGCTAGACAGCTAAATATTATTGAATGTGATCAGTGCCCAAACATAAAATGCTCAGGAAAAAGCTACTGATGTTATATTTAAGTAATACAGACAAGAAAATATTTCTTTTGTTTCTTTCCCAATAAAATCCTGTGGGTGGAGGAAAACTGGTATACCAGGAGATTCTTTAGGAAAAACCGTAAGGTATTTCAGTAATTGATAGACAGTAAGACATGATAAGGAGGGCCATGGGTGATTGACCTGAACAGATAGAAAGAATATACTGAGCAAGGGACAAAAGAGAATTAGCATTTATTAAGTGCTTGCTGTATTTCAGGTACTTCACATATACTATCACATTTAATTATCATTAAACCCTTCAAGGGAAGGTACGTATATCCATTTTTTTACAGATTTTAAAACTGGGGCTCACAGGGGTTAAGTAAATTCTCCAGAGACACACAGAGAAAGTGACAGGGCTAGGATTTGAACCTTTATCTGTCTGGTTTCTAAGCCCTGACTTCAGGCCATGATTCAGCACGGGGTATTAACAATGCAAGATCTACTAAGCCCCACAGTTGTTCTGCAGATAGAATGTGATTAGAGAGTCAAAGTGCCTTTGGAAAATGCAGGCATAAGACAAGCATTATTTGCTAAAATAGTTTGTGGCTATGTTCTCCCCTTGCTGGTCTTCATTCAAAAAATATTTCTTGTGTGCTAAGCCAGGCACTGTTCTGGGCATTGGGAAATAGCAGGGGGGAAAGCAGACAAAATCTTTATCCGGGAGAGCTGACATTTCCCCAGCAGGACAGTCTGTGGACATGAACAAAATATTGATCAGCAATGTGAGAGAGGGATAGTGCTTAAGGCTGAACTCTGTCTCTCTCTCTATATATATACATGGTTATATAGATATAGTTATATATAGTTACATAGATATATAGTGTGTATATATATTCACTGTTTGAAATATTGAAAAATTGGAAACAGCCTAAATGTTCTTTAATGGGGACTGTTTTTTTTTTTTTTTTTTTTAAGTATGTTTTCATACTATGGAAAACTGTATAGTGTAGCTACTGCAAAGATGGAAGCTCTCTCTCTGTAGTGTCATGGAAAGACCTCCAAGACCTATTAAGGGGGAAAAAAGCAAACTCCAGGACAATACATGATATGATCCCATTAATGCTTAAAATAAATACTACTTGTTTGTGCTTGTGTGTGTGTGCCTGTGTGTATTTACATACTAATATATATGTGCATACTTAGATATAAATTCAGAGAAAAGTTCTGGAAAAATACACACCAACCTGACAACTGCATTGCTTGAGGAGAAGAGAGGGGAACTTGCAGGAAATGGTGTGGACCCGGTACTTATTCTGACTGCAATGTATACTTCTTGATTTCTGACAATGAGAATATATTCACAACTGCTTGTGTAATTAAACAGGGAGACAAATACATGCTTGTGGGTATAATTTAGTTATAGCAATATGATTATGGATGACAATTGTTACTCTTTTAATCTCCTGTAATATTGTTTTAATATGTGTATGGAATGAGATATACACATAGATGGGATGATGCCAAAACATAAAAGGTGGAATTAAAACATGGCAACCTGGCTTGGAAATCTCGCCTTTCCCCACCCCTCCTGCAGTTTATAGTGAAACCTTTTTTAAGAGCATCATGGGATTTTGGATGGAAATCCTTGATCTCCCAGTTCTGGGGCACATGTAATTATTTTACAGTTAAGTAACCTCAAGGATCTTTGCGATAGATATTATTTCATTATGAGAGCATCAGGCCTCTCCCAGCAGTAATTGAGCTTTGGGCAGTGCCATTGTGGGGGTTCTAGTGTGTGAGGAGCAGCTCCCAACAGGATTCCCCTGGTTCCTGAACCAAGTCAAGCAAGCTGGCCTTAGCTTTGACTGATCCCTGAAAACCAGCTAATATATACTCCAAGAATGTTAAGTAAAAAAAAAAAAAGAAAGAAAGAAAGAAGGAAAAGGAAAACCAGCTCATGTATCCCACCCAAATCTCTTCCATTGCCTCTCTCTGTGACCTTGGGCAAGTCTTTGCTGTTTCTGGATCTCCAATGGGAGGAGTTGAACCATGTGGCCTATAATGCCATTTCCTTTCCTAAACTTTTGATTCCTGTTATGGCAAGTTGTTACAGGAGCCTTCCATCATGCATTCATTTACATGCACCTGCTTGTGTGCTGTGGACAGAGAAGCAAGGAGGCACAGCCTCTGGCTTTAAGGAGCTGCTCATGGTGGCATCAAATTATTCTTGGAGATGTCGAAGCTGGTGGGTCTGCTAGAAACTCGGACAGTTTCTCAGAACTAGACTCAGAATAGATGTGTGGGGGTCCCTCTTCACTTCCCTGTACTCTCTGCATCTGGATCTCTTGGGTAAAACTGACCTCTGTTCCTCCAGCCTTTTTATTCTAAACATAAAGCTGATAGAGCCTCTACCTCTGCTGGGTGGATTATGTTCCTTAGAGATGAACTCATACTCACTGACAGGAGGGAATAAAGAGTCTGAGCATGGGGACAGGGATAGCCTGAGGTCATGGGAGTTCTAGGTGGACTGGTGATGGGACTCAGGGCCCTCTGGCCACTCCACTCATTCAGCAAACTTTTATTGCTCACCTGCTATATGCCAGGTGCTTTGCTAGACTGTGGGACCACAGGTGTGAATCAATGGAATGCAGGGCTTACAGCAGGGCATGAGTGGTTAGAAGCTCTCCTGGAGAGGACAGTATCCTCAGAGAACCCTCAAACCTGTGCCCTTCTCTAGGGGTGCCAGAGAATTGGCCCAACCGTTCCTAGCCCCAAGGAGCAGAAGGCTGCTGGGGAGGCCCAGGTGCAGTAGACACTGAGCCAGGGGCTGGGGTCAGAGGTCAAACCGTACTATGGCAGGAAGGGCCATAGTGCCCTCGGTCATGGCCAAGCTGGATTAAGGGGAACATGTTTCCATGGGCTGAGGGCGGGTAGGGGTTTACCCAAGAAAAGAGGCAGTGTGGCAAAAGTGGAGAATTTGTGTCAAGCTGACCCAAACTCTCCTTCTCTCTCCGAACTTCTTTGCCATGTGACCAGGTCAATGGCTCAGTCTCTTGAGCCTCAGTTGCTTCTTCCATAAAATGGGAATGATAACAGTTATACTTGTTCTTCTCTCAGATGATGATTCTGAAGATCAAACAAGGAGATGGGTAGAAAAGTAAATTATAAAGCACTTTAAGATATAAGCTAATGTTGTTGTATTTTGAAGTGATGCATCTTCCTGCTTCCTAACTAACCCATCCCGCTTTGCCAGGTTGGTTGTGTGAGATTTCCAGTATAGTGGGTACAAGAGCAGTCATGGGGGTTGGGGAAGGAATCTCTGGCCTGCTCACCACTTGTGGGCTAAAGGGGTCCATCCAGAGTCCCTTACGAGGCAAGTGGGCAATCTGGCACTGGCATGAGCTGAGCAGCCCCACCACTACTGAGGGCACAGGCCTTGCCCTGAAACTCATCAACCCAATGCCTTCTATGTGAACTCCTCCCATCCAAGAGTACCCAGGTAATGGGGTGATCTGCAGCCTGACAGGAGACTGCAAGTGGCATTTTTAGGGCACTTGTCGGCTCCTTTGAGAGAGAGGCTATGCTGTGGTCCCATGGGTTCCTCAATAAGAATGGACTCTTTGGGGGTGCTAAGAGCCTGGGTATCAGCAGACCCAGCAGCTTCTGGTCCTCATGTGCTATTGATCTTGGGCAAGTCACCTCACCTTTCCAGGTAGATTTGTCAGATGTGTGTTGCTTTTTATTACAAAAGTGATATATGATTATAAAAATCTTAAATATGAAAGAAGAAGAGAAAGTCCAAATGAAGGTACTTCCCCCCACCATTAGCCTGTTCTCATGCTGCTCTAAAGAACTGCTCAAGACTGCATAATTTATAAAGCAAAGAGGTTTAATTGACTTACAGTTCCACATGGCTGGGGAGGCCTCAGGAAGCTTATAATCATGATGGAAGGAGAAGAAAACACGTCTTTCTTCACATGGCAGCAGGAGAGAGAAGTGCCTAGCAAAGGGGGAAAAGACAGATCTCATGAGAATTCACTCACTAACACAAGAATAGCAGCATGGTGGGGTAACTGTCCCCATGATTCAATTACCTCCCGCTGGGTACCTCCCACCAGGTCTCTCTACAACACATGGGGATTATGGGAACTACAATTCAAGATGAGATTTGGGTGGGGACACAGCCAAACCATATCACCCCGTAATCTTACTGCCATAGACTATCTGCTATAAAAATTCTTTTAAATATACAAATAGCTATGTATGCTTCTTAAGCAGAAGTTGGGATCACAAGGCTATATTGTTTTCCTGCCAGCTCTCTTCATGTGCTGCTATACTTCAGACTTTCCCTCCAATAGTGTACAGGTCTGCCTCATTTGTTCAACCAACTTCATAGGATTGCAGACTTTTGGGACACTTTTCTGAATCTTTACACAGCGTAATTTTCCTGGGATGAAATTACTGCATCGAAGTATTTCTCTACACTCTTAATACATTGAATATGATAATTCCCTTTTAAAACTTTGACAGTGGTGAGTAAAAATAATACCTTGTTGCTCTAATTTTAAATTGTTTGATTATTATTGAGGTTGAGTATTTTTTTTGTATGTTCATATTTCTTTTTCTATAAAAAGCTTTGCTTCTATCTTTCCAATTTTTCAATTGGAATGATAATCTTTCTCTTATCTGAAAGCAGCACTTTATATAGTAAAGCTCTTAATCCATTGTTTGTCATACAAGTTGCATTTTTTTCCTAGTCTATCTTTTGCTCCTAGTATGTTTCTCATACCAAAGATTTAAATATTTATGCAGGCAAATTGTTGGTCTTATCCTTTATGGAGTCTGAGGCTTATCTCTCTTTAAGAAAGTCTTTCTCATTCTCAAGATTATGGAATCATTGTTTTTTAGTATTTTAAATAACTTTTATAATTTTAAAAAATGTGTACATTTTTAATACATCTGGGTTTTTTTCTGTGAATGTAACATGAAGATCCACTTGTTTTTTCTCTGAATGGATAGATAACCAATTATTCCAACATCATTTGCAGAACAATATAGCCCTTTTCCATTAATAGGAAATACAACATTTATCACATACTAGATTATAGTATTTTCTTCTATTTATTCTATTCTGCATTTTATTTTGTTAATTAATATATTTGATATTCCTACAAAATTCACATACTGCTTAATGACTCTGACTTTGTAATATCTTTTAAAATCCAATAGGGCAAGGCTGCTTTCATCTTTCTTCATCCAGGAAAACTGTTCTCATGCATCTATTCTCCTAGATAATATTTAGAATCCACTTGCCAGTTATTTTAATCAGAACTTTTATTGGAATTGTATCAAATGTATGAACTAATTTGGGAAAGAGTTGAAATCTTCACAGTGTTTAGTCATTCCAACCAGAAACACAATAATTTATTTAGATTTTCTTTCATGTATTTCATTATTTGCCTCTAAATAGGGCTTGGATGTTTCTTGCATGAATTAGTCATTGCATTTTCAGTTTTGTGGATGATTTATTCTTTGTTTTGTTTTGTTTTGCCATAGCGAATGAATAATTTCTCACTTTATATTTTTAACCAGTTTACTATTATATGAGAAAACTAGTTTGTGCCTGGTAATCCTTGTGAATTCTCTTATATCTGTTAAGTAACCAGTTAAATCTCTTGGATTTTCCATTTAATAACTGCTTTACTTATTATCAGAGGAAAGCATGGCTAGCATAGAAAACGAAAACATACAAAAGGAAAGAAACAAAAACTAACTGGAAAACTTACTTTTCAGAAATAGTTACTCTTAACATTTTGGCAAATGTCTTTCACATACTATGTATATAGTCAAAGATAGTATAATATATACACGGAACTATGCATATATCTACTAAAGTAGATATATGTAAATTTCTAAAAATTAAGTAGACATAAGTGTATATAGCTTTCAAATAGCATCATAATATGCATGTTTTGTAACCCACTTTTCCTATAAAATATTACAAACCTTCATCCACATAATTATTATACGTTATACCTTATCATTTTAATGGCTGTTTTTAATGTATGACTTTATTTAAGTAGTCCTCTAACTTCAGACATTTAGGTTGAGTCTATCTCTTGACATTATAAAAATTCTATAGTAAACA